CGCGGCCTTACCCCCCGGGTCCGGTGGACACGGTGACCTGCGCGTAGGTGGCTCCCGCGGCGGCTGCCGGGCCTGAGACGCCGTTGAGCGCGGCCACGCGCACGGTGTAGCGCGCGCCCGGCCGCAGGTGCAGCAGCGTGGCGGCGCGTTCCCGCAGGCCGGCCTGGCGCGGGACGAAGGCCACACGTGGCCCGCAGGGTTGGCATGCGCCCGCCGGGCCGTCGCGGCCGCAGAGCAGGCACAGCAGCGAGTAGGTGACGTCGGAACGGCCGCCTGAGTCGGCAGGCGGCAGCCAGCGCAGCCGCAGCGCCAGGGGGGAGCGGCTCAGGCTGTACTGCAGGTCCCGTGGCGCGGACGGCGGCCCTGCGACATGGGGTGGCGCTGAGTGGGACCGGGAGGGGACGCAAGCGCGCGGGGCATGGGGACACGGGTGGTGGGGCGCAGGGGCGCGGGCACCCCTGCATGGGTAGCAGTATGGGAGCCGGCAGTCCTTGATGGGGACGTGGGGGTGAGGGGCGGGCAGCCAGGAACTGAGATGAGGACATGGGGACCATCGAGGGGATTAGGATGGGGGGGACATGGTCACCGGGAACAGAGGGCAGGAAAGAGAGGAGGGACGTCCCAGCCAGGCCCAGGGAGAGGCGAGGGGAGTGGGGAGATGGCCACTCACAGAGAATCTTGACCCCCATGTCCATCCTTCTGGGTTCCCCTAGTCCCAGGCCCGGGTGCCCAGACCCACCCCAAGCTTCCTTTTTTGCCCTGCCAGTCCAACTCCCTCAGCCCCATCTCACCCCCTCCCTACCGCCAGCCAGGAGGGGGCACTCACGGGTGCAGGAGGCTGAGGGCGGGTCAGTGGGCGAGCGAGCGTAGGTGTCCTGGCACACGCAGAATGTAGAGGCGTTCTCCAGAGCCAGGCTATGCTCCGGGCACGGTGAGCAGAGGGGCCGCCTTGGGGACACCTTGAAAAACCCTGGGGGACAGGCTGTGGGAAGGGGCTGGTGAGGAGGCGTCCCCTCCCTGACCACGCCCCACCCTGCATCCCTGATTTTCCTGGATTAGGGTGGGGAAAGTGGGGTGACATCTCTTAGCCCAGTCTCACCTGGCCCTTGACGAATGCAGTGTGTGCAGGGGACGGTGACATAATTCACTTCTGTTCATACATTTGACTTCATCCCCATGGTTAAAAAGAGGAGAGTGGGGCTGAGATGCCCCCCAGTTAGTGGGTTTCCCACCCCAGCCTGCCCCCTTTCAGAGCCCTGACAATACTGCTCTAAGGTCAAAGGTGCAGACTTGATGTGAACAAGAGAAAAGAAGGGTGAGGCCTCCAAGGGCTGGTCCTGTTACTCAGGGACAGGCAGACAGGCAGGCACGCGCACGCGCGCACACACACACACACACACACACACACACACACACACACACACACATCAAAATTCATTCTCCTACCACTGCGCATTGGGCTTAGTAATATCATAAACCTTTTCCAACTCACACGGTGGACTCCAGTTTGGAAGCAGAGCTGGGCAGGTGGAGGGGTGGAGCTGGCAGAATGCTCCAATGGCTTCCTAGACTAGTTCTAATCTGACACTACACAGGAGCCTTGCTGTCCTTGCCTCCGCTCACCTAACAGCTCCTAAGAAGAGACTGAAACCCAAGCGGTCCGTAGCTGAGTTGCATCACTCACTTACTTGCTATGTGGTCTTGGGCATGTCAGTTAATCTTCCTGAACCTTCTATAGACTACTGTTTCTCCCTCTCCGGCCCCAAGAGAGGACAGATGAGCACACACTGACTGATTGATTGAGGCCGGATCTCATACAACCCAGGCTAACCTTGAACTGACAGTGTAGCTGAGGATTGACCTTGAATTTTTTTCTTTCCGCCTCTCCTGAATGCTGGGATTACAGGCATGACCGTGCTCTGAACACCTATTTTGTTTGTTTATTTTGTGTGTGTAGGGGGTGGGTGTACACGACCATTTGTGAACACATAGAGACCAGAGGTCCATGTCAAATGTCTTTCTCTGCCACTGTGCAGCTTCCTTTTTGAGAGTCTCTCTGGGCATCGGAAGCTCATGGCCCCAGCTATTCTAGCTGGTCAGAAAGCCTCTGGGATTTGCTGCCCTCTTCCTGTGCTGGGGTTACAGACACGCTCTGGCACACCTAGCTTCTGTGTGGATGCTGGACATCTCACCTTAGGTCTTCAGAGTGCCACGGCAAGCATGTTTACTCACTGGGCCATCGCCCTGTCCTAAACGCCCATTTAAAAACGGTCTCAGTCTGGGTTGGGGCAGTCCCCCCCGACTCTCTGGCCCTTCCCTCCAGTCTAGCTGCAAGTAGAAGGCTAGACCCAAGAAGACAGAAAAACAGCAGGGAGGAAGGCTAACCCCTGGGAAGCAGTCTTAAGAAGAGCTGAACCCTGGTACTGTTTGAAAGGCTTGCACTTGAGAGAGTCCCATCTTGCCCAGAGTCCTCCATGGCGTAGCTGGGGAGAGGGGGCTCAGCAGCACCTTTCCTTTACCACAGTGGTTCTCAACCCATGGGTCGTGGCCCCTTAGGGGTCAAACTACCCTTTCACAGGGGCTGCCAAAGACCCTTGGAAAACAGATATTTACATTACAATTCATAGCCATGGCAAGATTACAGTTGTGAACAAAAATAATTTTATGGTTAGGGGCCACCCCAACAGGAGGAGCTGTATCAAAATGTTAGCACTAGGAAGGTTGAGAACCACTGCTTTAGCACAAAACACAGGGCCACTACCCTTGTGGACCTAGGGGTGTGGTCATGGTCAAAGCCAAGACTTGAAAGCCTGGTGAAGTATTAGCTTTGCCACTCTGGGGTGAGGAAAGCATCAGTCAGATGGGAACTGTGATCACAGCCTGTTGACTGTGTGGTGAAATAGAGGGGTGAGGTCTGGACAGTGCCCACGGTGCCAGTCTCGGGGTACTGGGAAGAACACAGAGGTGCCTTGCTCTGAGTGGAAGAGGGTTACTGCCCTAGCTGTGGTTATCACGGCCCCATGAGGCAACTGTGGTCCTCCCTATTCGGAGAGGTGCTGTCTGGAAGAGTGGTGTGTGGAAAGACAGACTCAGGGGACTCCGTGACAGCCAGTACCTTCCTCTTTTGGGGTCAAAGTCAGAAATTCAGAGGTGGTCTAGTTCAGCTCCCACTGGCCTTGCCCTGTAGAGACTTTTCACCAGGTTTGCTTATCTACCTCATGATGGGGAAGTCTCCCCCTTCTCACCCCTTTGCTACCAGATAGACAGTTTTGCACAGAAGGAGCCCAAGTTGGGTACTCCATGTAGAGTCACCTCAGGCACCCCACCAGGGGTCCCAGTAACCTGTACAGTCTCAGCGAGCAGGCAGATCCACAAGAGACTTGGTAATAAGTTACCTTACCAGCCTTGATGTGTTCCCTAAAAAGAAGCTGGATTTCATGCATTCTTATGGTGACTAGAACAGGAGCAAGAACAAAGGTCACTATTGAAAGGAAAGAGTGCTGGGCGGTGGTGGTGGCGCACGCCTTTAATCCCAACACTCGGGAGACAGAGGCAGGCGGATCTCTATGAGTTTGAGGCCAGCCTGGGCTACAAAGAAAGTTCCAGGACAGCCAGAGCTGTAACACAGAGAAACCTGTCTCAGAAAGAGAGAGAGAGAGACAGAGACAGAGACAGAGACAGAGACAGAGAGAGAAAGGAAAGAGTGGGGAGATCATAACTCTGTCTTCTCCTCTAGCTTTGGGAAGGTGTTCACTTAACTGTAAGAGACACTTGAACGGCCTGGAGGTACCAGTGCAAGCCTAACCACTCCTTTCCCCTTCCTAGCCCTCTCCAGCAGCCCTCACTATGCCCACTCTGAACATCACAGAGAGCTTCTGGCTCCTGACCCACGATGTCCCACACCCTCTGCCTCCTGAGTTCTCCAAAGTCCGCTTCCAACAGCACATCCCTTGGGAAGTTTGCCCTAGATTTTCCCCAGCTCCCCCACTGCCCTGGGCAGAGGTGACGCCATTACAAGAGACTTTCATCTGGTCTCAGCCCAAGGAGGGGGAGCGTGACACAAACCAGAGATCTCTAGTCCCTAAGCACCCACAGTTTTATCATCCACCATAAACCAGGTGTTCTTCTAGGCTCTAAAGGCGCAGCATAAAATAGACCGGAATCTGACTGTCCCCACCCCGTCACAGACGGCTCCACACCTGGCAGAGCACAGAGAGGGGTCGTGAGTTGGTAATTCCCCCCAACATCTGGCTATGGAAACCACAAACACCTCTATCTGACCCACATCTCCTCTCCTACAGTCTGAAAGATGGAGACAAGGCATCTCCACTCTGGACCCCTGCCTTTTACTCCCACCCCCCAAAGTCACATTCCATCTGTCACCTCCCCTACTGGTCTTTGCAACCCCCTCTACTGCCTCTTGCCAGTGATGTCACTAGTGGGCGGAGCAGACAAGCAGTCCATTTCTATGCAGGCATAAGGGCTCTGACTATAGACTATTTTAAAACAATCCTAAAACTGACTAAAAGTTGTCCTGCTTTTTATTAGCAACATGCGTCAGCAATTTTAACCCGCGTCAGTAATAAAACACTTCTTCCTCTTGAACAGATTGCTCCCCACACACATTTGGTATGCCACTGGCTCTCCCCAGCCCCCCATAGCATATACACAAGTGTCTCTGGTCTGCAATAAAAGCCCTCTCTCTGTTCAAACAACATGTTCATACACAAAGATCCTACCAACCCACAGTCCCATTGAAGATGTTGACTCTTTATTTCTCCCTTCAAATTCAGACTTCTAGAGTCTTTTCTAGTAACTGTGCATGCGTGTCTCTCTCTCTCTCTCTCTCTCTGTGTGTGTGTGTGTGTGTGTGTGTGTGTGTGTGTGTGTGTAAGGGGGTCTCACATAGCTCAGGCTGTTCTCACACTCACCATGCAGCTAAGGATGACTCTGAACTTCTGATCCTCTTGCCTCCGTCCCCTGAGTTGGGATTATAGGCATGTACCATCATGCCTGGTTTCTGTGGTACTCGGATGGAACTCGGGGCTTTGTGGACGCTAACTGAGCCACATGCCTAAGTTGGATGCTCTACCAGCTGAGCTCTCTGGGATCACTAGACTTTGAGACTCTGGCTCCTCAGGGCTCTTTGTTCTTTAGCTGACCATAAGCCTCTTCCTTCCATTGCTCCACTGAAATTGTTCTTGCCAAAACCAAGTGAACACCATCCAACTCCTGTCATGCCTGAGTGCTCACCACGCTATAGGTTGCTGTTTCCTGAATCCTCATCTCCCTTAACCACCATGTTCCCTCCTTCTCCTTTCTACCCTTTACCCTCTCAGCATGCCTCCTCCAATCTCTTTATTTTTAGACAGGGTCTATTATGTAGCCCTGACTGTCCTAGAACTCACTGTGTAGACCAGGCTGTCCTGAAACTCACAGATAGTTGTCTTCCTCTGCCACCCAAATGCGGGTCACAACCCACTTGGCAAACCTCTATTTCCAAAAACATTTACATTACAATTCATAACAGTTTCAAAATTACAGTTATGAAGTAGCAATGAGAATAATTTTATGGTTGGGGGTCATGAGGAACTGTATGAAAGGATCAAAGCATTAGGAAGGTTGAGAACCTCTGGATTAAATCTCTGGATTAAACTTTTAGAAAATCATTTTTGCTGGGTATAGGTTACACAGCCAGTGTTTTTGCTTGTTGAACCACCTTGCCTCTCTGGGTTTTTTTTCTTTTTTTCTTTTTTTTTTTTTTTTAAAGATTTATTTATTTATTTTGTATACAGCATGTATGACCAGAAGAGGGCACCAGATCTCATTACAGATGGTTATGAGCCACCATGTGGTTGCTGGAAGTTGAACTCAGGACCTCTGGAAGAGCAGCCAGTGCTCTTAACCTCTGAGCCATCTCTCCAGCCCGGTTTTTTTCTTTGTTTCTTTTTGAGATTGGGTCTCATGTAGCCTAGGCTAGCATCACATTCACGATGTAGCTGAGAATAGGCTTGAACCCTGTTCTTCCTGCCTCCACCTCCTGGGTGCTGAGATAACAGGCATTCAGCATCACGCCCTGCCTCCCATCACATCCGTCCTCATCGCTCAAGGACAGCTGCTACCACATTAGTTCACAGCTCGTGGTTTCTCGCCTGGACTATTGCATCACCGTCCTTCCTCCGTTCTGTCCTCCAAGGCTTCCCGCCCTGATCCTTGCTTTGCTACTGGCAGCTTGAGTGGTCTTTTGAAAATATAAATCGGAAAGTGTTGGCTTCCCCCCCAATGGTCTGAAGTATAAAGTCCTTATTTCATCATTCACTCATGGTCCTGCCCAGCTCCTAGCTCGTCACTTCTCACACTCCCACGTGCCCTCTGCAGTAACCACACTGGATTACGGATTTAGTACCAACTACTATGTTCCTTTCTGTCACCGTCATGCCTCTGCAGAATGTCTCAGCCGCCAGGAAGAAAAACCTCCCTTCCTTTGGAAAACTCTCCCCATCCTCAGAACCGGGTTCTCTGTGGATGTGACACACCCATGGTGTGACAGTTTAGCATTGACTGTCAACTTGACATCTAGGAGACAGATTTCTGGGCACATCTGCAAGGGACCGTGCGGAATAAAGTTAGCCTCTGAGAATGTCTGTGAGGGATTGTCTTGAGTGAGTTCATTGAAGTAGAAAAACCCATCTTTGTTTTTGAGACAGGGTCTGTTTACAAAGCCCTGGCTATCCTGGAACTCACTATGTAGTCCAGGCTGTATAAAAAGCTAGCTAAACATTTGACCCTCCATGGTTTCTGCTTTGAGTTCCTTCCCTGTCTTTGCTCAGTGGTGGACTGTGGCCTGTAAACTGAAATAAACCCTTTCTTTCTCTTGGGTTGTCTTTGGTCAGAGTGTTTTAATCACAGCAACAGGTAAAATGACAGCATCAAGCTTGGTCACTTCTTCTGTCACCTACCATTCTGTAGCCCTGTTATGGCACAGATTACTTTCTTTTTAAATGTTTATTTTAACTTATATGTATGGGGTTTTGTCTGCATATCACATGTGTGCCTGGCAGAAGAGGGTGTCAGATCCCCTGGCACTGGCGTTTTGGGTGGTTGTGAGCTATCATGTGGGTGCTGGGAATTGAAGTTGGGTCCTCTGCAAGAACAGCAAGTGCTCTTGACTCCTGCGCTGTCTCTCCAGCCCCACATATCACTTTCTTATGATTTAAAAACTAAATCGCTGCCCCTTTCCATCTAGATGTGAGCTTTTCAAGAGCTGGGGCCGTGTCCAATTCTTTTCTATTGTCCTGACACCCAGAAAAAGACCTGCTTTAAAAAGTGCACCCTTTGCTAATGAGATAGCTCAGTAGGAAAGGGCAGTTGCTGTCCAGCTTGAGCACTTGAGTTCAATAGCAGAACCCATGGTGGAAGGATAGAGCTGATTCCCATTTCCCATGGGTTATCCTCTGACTTGTACTCATGACATGCACATGTACTTGCTCTCTCTCTGTCACACACACACACACACACACACACATACACACACACACACACACACACACACACACACACACACACACACACACACGAAACACATCCTTTGAACCTTCCGACCAAATGCACACATTCTGGATCCCACCCTATCCTGCTTCGAAGCCACAGACCCAGGGACCCAGGAAACACCCCCAGTGGCACAGCAATTCTACTTCAGAAAGCTGAGTGGGATTCTAGGAGCCATCTAGTGCAAGCTGCCACCCTTGAGCTCTGAGATGCCCTGAGAGCCTGACTTGAATGTGGTCAAAGGTGAAGTTCCTGGAATGCTAGCCTGAGGTTTGGACTACTGTGGAGTTTTTTCTTATGCATGAAGGAGGCATGGTGGAGCAATAGGTTCCCAGAGCTGGGCAAACCTGGATTCTAGTCTTGATTGCCCATTCCTAACTTTGCAAGTGAGGTAGCCACTCATCTCTTTGGTAATGGGAATCTATTATACTGCCTGAAGTACAGATCTCTACCTTTTTGTTTCTGTTTGTTTTGTTTGAGACAGCATCTTACTATGTAGCTGAGTCTGGCCTTGAACTCACAATCTTCCTGACTCAACATCTGAGGGTTGGGTTTTACAGGCCTATACCACTACCCCTGGTTCCTAATATATCCTTATATGGGATCAGATTCATCTCTTCCCGTAGGTCTTGGCTAAGCCCACTAGAAACCGCACAAAAGGTCTTGACCCCCAGCTCCTCCTATGGCTTCTCCACTTCCACTCATGCTCCTTCAGCGAGGGCACACTCTTTCCTGCCACCTGAATGCTATGTCCCCATCCCATCCCTCCAGGTGCCATAGATACCTTCACAGATGTCACCACGTTCCTGGAATCCTGCACTGCAGCTGCAGCGGCCCACCGGCACCAGCCACTCGCCGTCGGCGCCACAGTGCATGCGGGGAGGGCTGCCAGGTTCCCCTTCCGAGTGGGACACGCATGTTCCAGCCACTTCCACCAGCGTGGAGAAGGCACTCTCGGCTGCCGTGGCTGGGAAGGACGCCAGGCCCCGCACTGTGGCACGGCACTGCTTGTAGTAGACACGCACGGAGACCAGCGCCACGCATGCACCCACATCCTGGAAGGCCAGGTGGAAGCCTTGCCGGCTGAGGGGGCCGATTTCACGCACCTCTGTGTTCAGCTTCATCTTGCGCTCCCCCAGGTCGCCCTGCGTGAAGCTCTCATCAGCCGCGATAGTGTCAATCTTGCGGGGCCGGTTGCCTCCTAGGCGGGGACGCCCACGTCCCAGGTCGGCCTCCGTTTCCAGGTAGTAAGCGTTGAAGGTCTCTTTGCAGGTGCCCGCGGCGCCAGGGATGCTGCTGCAGTCGCGCAGCGTGAACTGCAGTTCCACGAAGATGCGCTGCCCACGGCCACGGCTGATCCAACCCGTCTGCAGCCAGTTGTCCTGGTTGGGCTCCAGTACGTTGCATACTTGGTACGTACGGATGGGACGGTCATGTTCGTCCACGCCACTAATCTCCTCCCACTGAGCCAAAAGCACAGAGGTGGACACCTTAGAGCCCGGAGCTTAATTTAAGCACTGGCCTTTCTCCACCTTTTTCACATCTGCCTCCCCGCCCCCTACCATACAAGCCCCTAAATATGACAAAATTCAGGAAGAGGAGACACTTCGGAAATGACCAAGTCAAATCCATTTTCTTCCGGGTACTGGGGTTTGAACCTAGATCCTTGGGCATACTGGGCAAGCACTCTACCACAGACCTCTTTCCCCTTTTTATTTTGATGTTGCTTCAACTAAGTTGCCCAAGTCGGCTTTGAACTCACTCTGTCAATCAGACAGGGTGAACTTACAGTCCTCCTGACGCAACTTCAGGCCTGTGGCATGAGGCCGTTCCAATCTTTTTCCATTTATTTATTTGTTTGTTTGTTTAGACAGGATCTCATTCCATAGCCTAGGCTGGCCTTAAGCTCACTATATATCCCAGACTGGCCTCAAACTCACATCAGTTTTCCTCCCTCAGCCCCAGAGTGCTAGGATTACAGACATGAGTTGTCACACCTGGCTTTCGTTTTTCTTTTTAAAACATGCAGCAGCATTTTGTGGATTTGCATGTTGTCCTTGAAGGGGCTATACTGATCTTCCCTACATCATTCTAATTTAAAATGTGTGCTGAAAACCAAGCACTGAGACAGGATTTCTCTATGTAGCCCTGGCTGTGCTGGAACTCACTCTGTAGACCAGGCTGGCCTCGAACTCAGAGATCCACCTGCCCCTGCCTTCCAAATGCTGGGATTAGAGGCGTGCACCACCACCACCTGGCCACAATCTCTATTTTTGTGGATGAGGAAACTGAGGTTGCAGAGGGAGAGCCGCTTGACTGGATGGGCGCTGTGTGTCAATGGCAGAGCTAGGGATGGTACCTGGAGTCACTCAACTCTCTGCTCAGTGACCTTCCCTCCTCACCCCCACCCCCCGCCTTGCTTACTCTGTCGATAACTGACGGCTACTTAGGGGTCTACTGTGTATGAGGCAATGCCCAGCATTTGCCCCATCCAGCTTACATTTCTGTTCTTAGACACAGCCAGTTTTCTCACTTACTTATTTGACTGACTTACTGAAGACTTGGTATTCTCTAGTAAAGCCACTCTGGCTTGACACCAAGGGTTCTAGAGAATACAAACTCTATGGCATATCTTTAAAAAAATCTTTCACAGGGCCAGACAGTGGTGGCACACATCTTTAGTCCCAGCACTCAGGAGGCAGAGACAGGGAGATCTCTGAGTTCGAGGCCAGCCTGGTCTACAGAGGGAGTTCCAGGACAGCTAGGGCTACACAGAGGAACCCTATGTCAAAAAGCAAAACAAAACAAAAAAACTTTGACGGGGCAGCTGAGATGCCTCAGTGGGTAAAGGCACTTGCCATCAACCTGACCTGAGTTTGATCCCCAGGACCCACATGGTGTGTGGAGAGAATGGACTCTCACCCGTGGTCCTGATCTCCACTTGCACACACCATGGCACCAACACATATACACACATACATGAACACAGTAAATAAATCAATGATTGAAATAGTTTAAATTTCTTCACAATTTTATAATGTATAATGTACTTTAGCCACATCTCTCTATTATTCTCTCTTATCTCCCCCCCCCCACCAAATTACTTCTTCCCAGCACGTCGCCCTCCTACTTACGTATCTTTGTGTGTGTGTGGCCCAGTGCATTTAACCAAGGTTGCCTGCATGAGCGTGGGTGGGGACTTCCTGTGGTACATTTTGATCCTAGGTGAACACCGGATGCTAAATGGACTGAACTAGAGGACCCTTGGGATGGAGTGACAGTTGAACACCTACCCCATTACTTGGCAGGGCAGTCCAACCCAGTTCAGCCTGGGAGGCTTTGGAGTCCAGGAGGATAACTAAGGAGAAGGGAGAACGCAGATGTCAGACCGCTGCAGCATCAGATTCGAAGGATGGGAGCCATTGCTGGGTTTACCAGATGGCTACAGGAGGGGATAGGGAGCAAAGCAAAACTCCTGAAGGGCAGAGTAGCTCAAATCTAGAGAGCGGCAACCACTGTGATTAATGAAGGCACCTGTATTCATTCCCTGAGGCTTGCGACAAATGACCACAAACTTAATGGCTTATGTCCTCTCTCCCAGCTTCAGTGCCGGACTTCACCCTCTGCTTCTATGTCCATGTTGCCATCTCTTCTGGCTCCGAGTCTTGCTGCCCTCATATGAGGGCCATTAAGGTTGCATTGAACCACTTATCCAATCCAGATTCATCCCTTCATGTCAAAATCCACATCACACTGCCAATCCTTTTTTTTTTTTTTTTTTTTTTACCACTTATAGTGACATTAACAAGTTCTGGGGGTTAGGACCCCCCCTTTTGTTTTCATTGAATCGAGTGTTGTTCTCAGCCTTCCACAGAGTCCCTGGCAAATACTCTAAGGTCAGCTTTCACATTAGGGATAGAAGTCAGTGGCCCTCTTAACCCTCCCCACGTTCCCTCAAGTTACATTTAACTGTCAACTAGTGGGAGGAAACTGTCAACTAGCAGTGGATCTGGGAATTCTTGGTTGCACCCCAAATCCACCCAGAGCTGAGGTCAGTTCACCAGTTATAGAGGAGATGGAAACCTTTCTCATTTGCCTTCTGGGGCTTCTGGTGAAAATGAAGTAGAGAGACCACTTAGCAAGAGGAGACATCAGAATTCTTTGCTTCTCTACCCAGCCCCTTTCCCAGGGGCTGCCACCTCTACCGCCTTTGAAAGAGTGCCAGGGACCCTTTCACACATAATCCATGACCCTCTCCACCCCCTCCCTACCAGAAAAGCTTGGAGTCACTTTATTCCCTCTAGATGTGACAGGTCGACAGCCTGCATCCATTCATCGCTTGGTCTCAGAGAAGCCCGGGTCTGGAGAGCAGAACCTTCTGCTTAAACACAGGAAGCCAGGCCATCTCCAAATCTCAGAAAATTACTTCCCTAGAGTGGTAAGCAAGCGAGTGGGCTTCCAAGGTGAGGTCCTCCAAGAGGGACTGGTTCTGGAGGCAGCCGCGACAGTGGGCAGGGCCGCCGCCGACAGTGCGCTGGGTTTTCGTCACCGACAGTGCCTGAGAATTGCATACTGGCAGGCATCTGCCATCCCGCGCCAGGACAGACCCTGCGGGCAGAGTCTGCTCCAGCATCTCAGGGTTGCTGCACCTGGTTGTGACGCCTCTGGATTCAACTGAACGTACAGCTCCCAGAGGTGTGGGAGCAGAGGCAAGACTCCGGCGCTTATGTCGCCGACAGCCCCAAATCCTCCGCAACGCGGACCGCGCGTGGTGGACTCGATCCCAATTCAGCACTGCGGACAGTTCCACGGTCAGCACTTCGGGCAGCGCGCAGATGATTAGCATCCAGCCTCCGGCTGTCCACACCACGGTCCCCTAGGCCCCCGCTATTTATCTTCATCCCGCCTCACGCTCGAGTCTCGCCGCATCCCCTCGGCTTCCCTGCTCCCTTCATCTCCCCGCCCCCACACCTCCCACCTCCAATCATTCAGCCTGTCCGGCTCAACGGCCCCTGACTGCTGCCCCGGGCTCCTGTGGTCCCCAGCCTCTTTCTTCCCCAGCCTTCTAGGTCTCCAGACCTAAAAGCTCCTCAATACCCCTCTCTTCTCTATCGCTTAGCCAACCTCCCCTCTTTCTCTAGTTCTTTCTCGCCCTGTTGCCCGCTTGCTTCAAGCCCCCAAACAGAGTAGTCAGTCTCTCCAAACGACGCCTTCCCCCAGTCCCCTAGCCCCCCCCCCCCCAACTCCCTAATTTTTGGCTCTCAGGCACAACCCACCTTACCTTCCTCGGCGGTCCCGGGCCGCCCAGGTCCCAGAAGCAGAGCCAGGCAGAGTGGCATCAGGCAGACGAAGAGGCGCAGCGGGTGTGGACCGGCGCCAGTCTCCATGGTCCACAGACGGAGCTGTCAGTGCGGCGGCGGCGGCGGCGGCGGCGGTGGCGGCGGCTCAAGCCTCGCCAGCCCAGCACCGCTGAGCAGTGCCCCCAGACCCCAGCGCCGGCCGGGGGCGGAGTCTCGCTGGTCACCATCATCCATGGGGACCAATCGCTAGGCATCGCCGTGGGAGACCCACCAATCCTGGCCAGCAGAGAATGAGGAGGTGGAGTTTCATAGGCCAGGGGCGGAACGCCCAGCTGGAGGGGGAAACCAAGGGGTCCCGCAGATCTCCAAACCGTGGGGGTAGGGCAGCCCTGAGAGCTAGCGGGGCTGCTGGAGAGCGAGACAAGCTGGCGTCGGTGGACCAGAGACCCTCCAACCTTAGCTTTCTGCATCCTGAGAAGTAGGCGCTGTGGGCGTGGCTTACGGAGGGGCGGTCCGCGGGGAAGCGGCGACACATGCAGTCTCTTAGCTATTCTTGGGAGCACCCTTGTTCCCAGGACTTGCAGGGGATTTCCGAGACTGATATCCTGACCTCAAGCTCTAGGGAGCTCTGGTGTCTCCCAGCCCTTGGCCTCTTCCTGTGTCTGCGGCTCCCGGTGTTTCATGGTTCGATCCCTCCTCCTTTCTCTCCCGCCCTCATCACACACACACACACACACACACACACACACACACACACACACACACACACACACACGCAGAGCCCAATCCTAGGAGCTGCTTGGGAAAAGAGAGTCAAGCTGGAGACAGGGTCCCACCCTACCAGCATCGCTTCCGAGGCTGGGAAACCATGTGGACGTTGAGATGGGGGCAGTGGTAGATTGTGCACGAACATCCGCTTCCCGGGTTCTTGCTTCTGCTATCCATATACATAGCAGCACACCCCACAGCCTTTCTCCACAGACTGTTCAAGTTGGGGTTCCTCTATGAGCACCCCACTCTTCCCACCCAAGAAGAACGATGAGAAATGCAGCACCGGGAATCTGAGGTCCCTGTGAAAGAGGCGGAGCAGTCCTCGAAGAGTTCGGCTGGAGCTGAAGACGCTGCAAGGAAACGTGAGACACGACCTCTATTTAATGAAGGTCACTTGTGTACGAGCTGAAGGTTTAACCATTTGGCGGGGTGGGGAGGGCTGGGGGGGCCCCCCCGGAACGAAGGAAGCAGCCATTGAGCTTCACCATTTGAACTGAACTTGAGGGGAGGAAGCTCCATCCACCTTGTGGCTTTTCAGGGGAGGCCGGAGCCCCTCTCCCCTTAGGTGCTACAACAGCCGGAGAAGCCCGGAGTGTGAGTGTGAGCCACCCATGCACTTGGCTGTGGGGTGCCAGTGCCTGCACATTTTGCTTAGATGAGTACTCCTCACCCCTCCAGCTAACACTTCCTGGACACCATACTCCGTGGAGAGGATATCTGGGCAAATCATTCATTTCTGCCACATCCCATACCTCTGGACACCGAATGCAAAGGGAATACATAGCCTCATAGTTCACTGGTCATTTTTATGTGCTATTTCTCTCTCTCTCTCTCTCTCTCTCTCTCTCTCTCTCTCTCTCTGTGTGTGTGTGTGTGTGTGTGTGTGTGTGTGTGTGTGTGTGTGTGTGTGTGTTCGTGCAAAAGAACTTGCTTACTACAGATATAGTTGCTGGACAGTAGTAATGGGGAATTGGTTCCTTTGCTTCTGGGAAGAAAGGTTTATCAAGAAGGACTAGGCTGAGACACTGGACGACTGAAGCCCTCTAAGGAAGCAAGAGGAGGCGTGGCCTCTGCCTAGTTCCTAGAGATAGGTGGGGTCCCTGAAATAAGACCTACCTGAAGAAAGGCTCTTGTATCCTCCACCTCCCTCCTATCTTCATTCTCCTCACGCTCAGTTGCCCCTCCCCCTCCCCCCAGAGCTGGGAGATGGTATTTTTAGAAGCTGCTTAGAGACCCAGGACTCCTTTCATTTCAAAATGAGTCCTCACTCCACCAGCCCTCACCCCCTCCCCCTGCTTCAAAGCCAGGTCCTGTCCCCTTGGCAGTCAGTAAGGCATCAGGCATGGCTTCTTACCACAGCTCCAGAGACTTCAGCCCAAAGCTTTTGACCCTGGGTACAAAAATGAAATGCTGGCTCCCTCTGAGCCACACAGGAATCTTTCAGGAGCCGAACAGATGGATAAGATTAACTGAGTAAAGCTACACAGGATGCCCACAAGATACCCTGGCTCTTGGGAGACTTCGTTGCATGCACGTGGGGGAAGTTCCCAGACAGAAACCTTAGAAATGGGGGGAAGCAAGAAGAGTGAATTAATCCCTCTCATTCTTCCTGTGGGCAATTCATTTATATATAATACAATCAGAGCAGAGAAGCCCTTGTGTTTGCAGATATATGCAAATCAGCCAGACCTTAATAGGAGTTGCTCCAAGGTAGATCACACTCTTCCAGGAGGCTGCAGAGCAGGTAACCTCTGGTGAAGAGATTCTGCAGAGTTTCTTACTACTCTGCACCCCCATGTCCTTCCTGAGAGCAAGGCTTGGTCCTGAGTTTCCTTGTGCAATGTTAGTATTCTCCATGGAGGAGATGACCTTCTCTGTCCAGTGAGATACGCCCCAAATCTATGAAACCAGAATTTCCACATTTAGGAATCCCTTAAGTAATGTGGAGATGGAAGTTATGATAAAGTTGGATCTGCATCCTAAAAGACCACTTGAAATTATTTTGGGTGGTGAATCGGGCTTCACAGTCTATCAAGGTCTCATGCTGTGGCCTCGGAGGAAGGCCTCCCTCCCTCCCTCCCAACCTCTCATCATTCTTCAGAATAATACTCCTATTAACCAAAGCATTGTTTATCATAGCCTTCAGGTGTTAGGAGCCAGTAAACCTACAGGCAAGGTTAGGTCCTTCTCTGAAGTAGCTCTGAGAGATGTCGGGGGGGGGGGGGGGGGGGGGACCTCAAAAAGGGAAGGGGAGCCCTGGCCATGGTGCTGGACCCTCAGCCCGCGGGATCGCGGTGGCGGTGTTTCTGTCCATGGTTCTGAACCTACCCACTCTGGACCCTTCATCTTCCGTTTGCCCTGGAACTTCTCTGTGGCTGCATCTTCATAATCAGGCCAGACTTTACTTTTCCACTCCTCCTGTCTGTAACCAAGACTCCATGACAGGTATCTTTAGGAGATAGCAGCCTTCATTTCCTGGAGTAAGAAATGAGGGGCCCAGGACACACCTGGAAACAGCTGTTTTCCATTTCTCTCAGGCTCCTTCTTGAATCGCGATGGGAGGGAAGAAGGGAGGCTTCCTCCTCTTCTTCACGGTTTTCTAAGACCAGAGCATGAAACCTTGATGGACTGTGAGACACAATTCAACACCAAAAATAATTTCAAGTGGTCTTCCAGGATGCAGATCCAAACTTTTTTTTTTTAAAGAGGTCGGTATTAGGACCTCAGTTTATTTATTTCGAATTACTTTATTATTTTATAATGTGTATGAGTGTTTTTGCTGCATATATGTCTGTGCATCACATGTATGCCTGGTGCCCTTGGAGGTAAGAAGAAGATGTTGGATTTCTTGGGACTGGAGTTATAGACAGTTGTGAGCTGCCATGTGGGTACTGGGAATTGAACTTGGGCCCTCTGTAGGAGCAGCCAGCACTCTTAACTGCTGAGCCATCTCTCTAGCCACGAGGATCCAAACTTTATCATAATTTCCATCTCCACATTACCGAGAGGATTTCTAAATGTGGAAATTCTGGTTTCACAGATGCGGGGAGTATCTCACTGGACAGAGAAGGTCATCTCCTCCACGGAGAACACTAACATTGCACAAGGAAACTCAGGACCAAGTCTACTCTCAGGAAGGACATGGGGGTGCCGAGCAGTAAGGAGCTTTATTCCACAAAGGGACATTTTCATTTGTTGCTTTCCTTGCCCATTCCATATCTCCTTCACCAGCATAATAAAGAAATTAACGTTCCCAAGATGGATTCTTTCCTGAGGTAATTGATTCGCAAGTAAAAATGAAATGTAGTTATAAACAAAAAGAAACTTTAGACAGGGTCTTGTATAGACCAGACTAGCCTCCAATTCCCTTACGAAGCTGAGGACAACCCTAAGCTCCTGATGGTCCTGTTTCTATCTCCCAAGTAGAGAGTTCATGAATGTGTTATTACTCCCAGCTTTAGGATCTAAGATTAGCATATGGCCCACCACAGTACTTGGCACATAGGCTCTGTTGCAGTATTATTCAACTCCACTGTGAATTAAAGTCAAACTGGGGGAGGAAAGAAAGGATGGAAAAAGTCAAGTGATGAGCAAGGATGAAAGACAGAATCAGGTAAAGAGTGGTGAGAGAAAGGACAGTGGGGGGCAGCCCGAAGCACAGCTGCTTGAGATGGGAGGTTAGAAAGCGAAGAAGTCTGGAGGAAAGAAACGGACTTGACGAGGAGGGGGTGTCATCAGGACTCGTTGCCTGGCCAGCTGCCAAGTGGTATCAGAAGTGACATTCACCTTGGTGAATTCATCGTGGTCCAGGCTTGCACACTCGACATAGCAGCATTAAGAAGGAATCTATGCGTTGGGAAGCTGGGTGATGGCCACACTCGATTGGCATCCATCCCGCTGTCTGCGATTAAAGGAGTACATTGATTTTTGGTGAGGAGTGACACTGCCCAGGGGGTCAGAGCTGTGTAACAATGTGCCTGCCATATGCTTTTCTGGAGGGGGGATGTGCACAGGGAGCCACTCTACATGGAAGCAGCTGTGTGAATGTGAGGAAGGGGCTGGAGCAGCTTCTAGGATTGGATGGCATCAGATTCTGATAGCCCCAAGTCTCCACATCCCTTGGCTGACCGCTAGTACAAAGAATAGGATGTAACATGTTTCTCTGAATAGCTGTTTTTGTTTGTTTGTTTGTTTGTTTAAAAAAATTATCTATTTTTATTTTATGTGCATTGGTGTTTTGCCTGCATGTATGTTTGAGGGCGCCAGATTCTATAGAACTGGAGTTACAGACAGTTGTGAGCCTCCGGTGTGGGTACTGGGAATTGAACCTGGGTCCTCTGGAAGAGCAGTCAGTGCTCTTAACCTCTGAGCCATCTCTCCATCCCCTGTTTGTTTGTTTTAATTCAAATTCTACCTTACAGTGCCCCTATTTAACAGAGTTAAATTAACAGGCACCAAAACTACACAGAGAAACCCTGTCTCAAAAAAACAAACAAAAAAAAGTCATAATTCCTGAATCAACAAGGTGGCTCAGCCTGTAAAGGCACTGGTGTTAAGCCTGGTGACCTGATTTTGATCTCAGGAACCCACATGGTAGAAGGAGAGAGCCAACTCTCATTAGATGTCCTCTGACCTCCACACATAAACCATGACGACTGTGCCACCACTCACACATACATCCATACATCAGACATACAAACACACTCTTAGCTAGGGTTTCTATTGCTATGAAGAGACACCATGGCCACAGCAACTCTTATAAGGAAACATTTAATTGGGGCTGGCTCACAGTTCAGAGGTTTAGTCCATCATATGATGAGAAGCATGGTGGCATGCAGACAAGCATAGTGCTGGAGAAGGACCCTAGAGTTCTACATCCAGATCCTTAAGCAGCAGGAAGAGAGTGAGACACTGGGCCTGGCTTGAGCATCTGAAACCTCAAAGCCCGTCCCCCAGTGACACACTTCCTCCAACAAGGCCACAGATCCTAATAGTGTCACTCCATATGAGCCTATGGGGGTCACTTTCATTCAAACCACCACAAGTAGATAGATACCAAAAACATTCTAGGTCTAGCCTTGGGTACCTCCCATCCTGCGTTCCTGTCAGTCACAACAGTGTATTCCTCTCTAACCTCTAATATCACTCCACTATAAATAAAGTTTATCTGTTATGTGGCAGATAAACAAGTGAATGAATGAATGAATGAATGAATGAATGAATGAATGAATGAATAATATTAAGTCAGGGCTGGGGATGTAGCTCAGTTGATAGAGTCCTTGCCTAGATTTGATTCCCAGCACCACAGAAGCCGAGTGTAGTGCTCTACACTTGCAGTGGTAGCACTGGGGAGATAGAGATAGAGACGTTCAAGTCATTCTTAGAGACACAGTGAGCTGAGGTCAACCTCAGCGATATGGAACTTCGTCTCACAAGTGTTTATCTAAGTGCAAGCACCCGATTGTTACATCTCAGACAACTCACTTTATACTTTAAGTCACCCTCCCTTGCTTCGCATTCACTGTCTCATGATGCTGATGCAGCCCCGGGCATATGTGGTTGTTCTTGTTCTAATCCTCTGCTCAGAGAAAATGACTTCTCTGCAATTTCCAAGATCAATAAGGATTATGATTGGCTAATCGTTTTCATTCTGGCATGTGCTACATCCCTGACCTTCTGAATTGAGGGTCAGAGAAAGTAAGTTCCCATCTGAAATGAGATGCGTAGTCAGGAGTGGTGACAAATACCTGTAATTCCAGCATATGTGAAACTGAGACAGGAGGATTATGAGTTCAAGGCCAACCTGGAGTAGTTAGTGAAACCTTCCCTCAAAAAAAACAAACAAGCTTGCTGGGGGCTATCTTTCTGTACG